AGTTGAAACCCCACCTCCAAAGCAAGGTCAGTCTTCCTGTTATCCATCCTTCATCCTGCCTTCTGCAACTCCATGAAGGTTCATTCCATCATTCACTGACTACAGCTACAGCCAAAAATGCTGGGGTCTTCCTTGACTACTTCCCCTCTTCCAACAAATTATCCTCACTTTCAATTTCCATGAAACCCATGCCTCTTCTTCATGCACTCTACCAAAGTCTGCTATTTCCAGTTAAGTAATGCAACTGCCCTTAGACATGTCTACCTCCTTGCTGGACTACCCTATTATTTGTTCTTCTGATTTCTCTGCCTGCAACTTCCCAGTAGCTTTTGGCCTAGATCCAAACTTTCAAATCTAATATAAAGATACTGTGAAATGTCTAACCACATTTTCACTAGGACATCTTCTATACTATGCGGTACGGTGTATTGGCTTTTAATCAGTAAGCATTTGCTATCTTACCTGCCAGCTGAAATAAGTTCTACCAGTGACTCAACATAATGATGACACTGGGGAGGTTGACGCTCTTGAAAGCTACCCTGCATACCACTCTGGAAATTGGCATCGTCACAGTTGTTGTTTTTCTCCACATTATACCAACAGGACTATGAACAATGCCAGGGCAGTGACTTACACTGTTGTTAGTGTAGCTGCACTAGTCTGTGCAAAGCCAATATAGACCATAGTAATCTCTCAATATGTGCATTTGGGATGAATGATTTACACATATAAAGCACTCACTAAACTTCAGCTGCTATGAACACAAAGTCCATCTCCACCTTTACTTCAGACTTTCAAGGCTGCAAGCCAAAGTATAGTCTAATCAGAGTTCAAAGCTGTAGATGAGCAAAAGGCCTCAGTGGGAGTTCTGATTGGAAATAATGGAGTGAAACCATTTCCACTGCTACAATATTCCAAAGTTGGATGAGCTGCAAGTACTTTGTCTAATATCAAACATTCAGGAGCAGAAGAATCACCCAGAAACCATGATACTCCCATGTCTCTATTCTAAAAAATAAAATTAGTCAAAAGAGAAAATTACAATTTTTGTGGTTCTTTCTGGGATGGTAAGTCAGAAAAATAGTTCATGAACTTCCATAGCATCAAGTACTACTTGGCAGAAATTTTTAGTCTAATGAGTTCCATAAATGATTCCTGCACAAAACATTTAAATTGTGCTTAAATCTATGTGGTCAAACTGATAGCCATGTGCTGTGTGATTTCAAGTTAAAACATGTGTGAGGAGAAAGGAAGAAACTTATTAAAGCAGATTCCAAAACCAAGTTTAAAAATCTGGTATTTCAAAACACTGAACACCAAACTGCCAATAGCAGAATTATCAGTTCTAGTGTTGATGTTTTACACCCTCACCAAGAATACACCCACAAAGCAATTATGAGTTTAGAAATATAAAGAAAAGATGCAAAATTTAAACTACTAAGCAACTTCCCATATACGATAAGTCATAAACAAGTCTTCAACAACCCTGAGTGTAAGTGATGAGTAATTGTAAATTAAAAATAAAATGCCAAAGAATAAGCTAGGACTAAATTTATCACATCCAAACAGCTCTCAAAAACTCTCATCAGTTCTTTGGGCTTCTTTTATTTAAAAATCTGTGGGAACCAGCAGGAGAGTAGATTCTAGAGTCCGAACAGAAGGACTGAGCATATTTCTTCGGCTCGTCAGCTCTACATCCTAGGAAAAGGTCAAGACAAGCCTTGACATTTCCAGCTATAAAATGGAAATAACAGCATGTCTCCCTTTTGGAATACCAGAATTATTAAAGGTTAGTACATGGAACATGGGCCTACATAATTCTTTAAAAAGCATAGGCTTTCACTGTTTCTGAAAATGTGGCAGGCTACAATGGTGATAAAGGTTCCATGAGATTAAGACCTACATTATTATTAATTTTCACTATTATGAACTTTCTTCATTCAGAACAAGCATTTACAATTTTCCATAAATTTTCTAAGCCAGATATTCACTAATGTTAATTTGGGTACTTCCTTTTAACTCCTCATTACATAAAGTTAGCTTTGCTTTTCTCACTTTATGTAAGTAAAATTTATGCAGAATTGAATCTGTCTACACACTATAGCTAAGGTAGTTTAAGAAATGAACTCATATTCATTGTTTTGTTCTGCCCATCAAGCCAGTAGTTGCATAAATTATTCCAATTCTGAATTATTAGATGTGACATAAAATTAATTTTAGCTTAGACATGAAATGTAAAGAGCATATTACATTAGTATATTGCTTTATGAACCTTTTAGTGAGCAAGGAATTCAAATACTTAGTATTTTGCCAAACTCCTTGGTTTCAATTTTCCAGTGAATGAAGTAACTTAAAAAATCAGAAAATATTGATAAGACAGTCCTGAGTGGTCTGGCAGTCCCAACACTTGAATATTACAGTCTATTAAACATTATTGCAAAAGTCAACTGACTATATAAAATATCATTAATATAGATTAATAAATATTACTGTTTTGCATAATTAAATAATAAAAATTATAATATGAGGACAAAGAGTTATTTCTAGGAAGTAAGAAAGCTAGGAGCAATGTTTAAAGTTATTGCTGAGGTGGGTACTAGTGCCCCCACCTATAATCCTAGCTTGACTCAAGAGGCTGAGATTTGAAGATGGTGATTTCAAGCCAGCCTGGACAAGAAAGTCCATAAGATTTATCTCTGTAATTAATCACCAAACAAAGCCTGAAAGTGGATCTGGGGCGTTAGTGGCAGAGGGCTAGCCTTGAGCAAAACATCTCAGGGACAGTGTTCAGGCCCTGAGTTCAAGCCCTAGTATCTGCATACACACAAAATAAGTAAATAAATACATAAATACTGCTGACTTTCAGTTTTACTGCCTTTGGCAAGGTCATACAGTGAGTTAAATACATCTGTACAATACTAATTTACAGGTTACAACTTCCTGATCAGGTCTTTCAGTTTAGCCTCTCTTGATCTACTTCATGAATCAGGCTAATAAATCACTATACAATAATGGCTCTAGCCACGACTTTCTAGGCCCTCATTGTGTATCAAGAGCTCTGCACATCATTTCTTTTATATACTTTGGTTGTCTTTGTTACTAAACACCTTATTCCATCACCTTGCTAACCACTTAGCAGTTTACACTCATGCTCCAACGAATTCTTGGGGTCCCTTTTTGAAATAAAAGCAGTAAATTTTATGGTAATATAATATTCTCTCTCATAGTTCAACATTAAATAGTTTAATATTAAAAACATAGATTAGAACTTGAAAAGTATTAATATGAGAGAAAGTTCACCTCTAGAAACAACGACAAAATAATTTTCTTGAAAGGAATGGAATAGTAAACAAAATGTTATTCTTTTTTTTATTGTGAAAATACTGTACAGAGGGGTTACAATTACATGAGCAAGGTAATGAGTACATTTCTTATCAAGCAAGCATTGTTGCCTCCTCCTTTGTTTCCCCTTCCTATCCCTTGCCAACTCGGCCTCCCCCCACCACCACGCCAAAGTTGTAAAGTTCGTTTTCGACATAATGACTTGCACATATCATTGTTGCAATGGGTCTACCTGTATCTCCCTATTTAAAAGATTTGTTTTTTCCCTTCCCCTCCACAAATTATACCAACATCAAATACAGTGAAAGCAGGGGTTATACCGTGGGGGAGGGACATACAAAGCAAATGTTATTCTATAATGTAGTTTGTACCACTCAACAGAAGTGGAACCCTCGAAGCAGGACTGCTAACTTTTCTTGCCCTGTCTATCTTTTTTAAATTACACAAAGGCATTGTCCCATGATCATCAGAAATTCTCCATGGATTTCTATTCTCATTCATAATTTAATATCAACAATTCAATCAAGTATTTGTTTCTGTACACTAAAAATATGCATGGGTGGGCCAGCTATTGATGACTCACACCTATAATCCTACCTACTCAGGACAGAGAGACCTGGAGGACTAGGATTTAAGGCTAGCTTGGGCAGAAAAGTCTAAGAGACATCTCCAATTAATCAGAAAAATGCTGAACTGGAGGTGTGGCTCAAGTGGCAGAGTTCCTGCCATGAGCAAGCAAGCTGAGAAAGAGCATGAGGCCCTGAGTTCAGCCCCAGTACCAGCACAAAACAAATAAACCAGTATATATGGTACCACAACTGTTAGAACCTAAAACATCTCAATCATCCCTTAAAATAAAGACATGCTGATGTATAACTATATTCTTGGGTTAATTATTAATATTGAAATTTAGTATTAATTTTAGCAAGTGAGATTATTTCTACCAAAATCAACATTGGTAACGCAAATCAATGCTACAAAATACATACTAAGCATAATGTAAAAGAAAATGAGTCAAACTGCAACAGCATATATGACTAAATAAGTAATAAACACAGAAATGAGAAGTACCAGCTGGGAAGAGGTAGAATATGGAAATCTTGCTAAGAAATTCTTTCCCCATGGTGAAAGGAAGTAACATGCCAGCTTCTGACCACAGACATGTTTATGTCATCTCTTAAATGCAGCTGACAACACAGCTGGTTCCATTCACTGATGACAAAAGGAAACAGGTGGAGAGACACGGGGAAAACTTATCAAGTATGTTCCCTGTAGTGAGCTGTAAGGAAGACCACAGGGCACAGACTAGCCCTAGGCAGCCTGGGCACTGATGATGCTTTGGAGGATGAGATGAGATGAGGAAGGGTGAAGAAGAAAAGTGATGTGGCAATTCTGATTCCACATTGACAATGAAAATGGGAAAATAAACCACGAGATGTTAACTTCTAAGAAGCTATCACCTGTAATGAGCACTGGACTTTCTATTACTTGGGCTCAACTGATCAAACAGATGTTTGCTTGTTTTGTTTCTAAGTCTGAAACTATGAATCTTTTTTTCTTAGGATTTTTACCCTTTACAGATTTATTACACAAAGCTAGTGTTCATATCAACAACATTTGTAAATTAAAGCTACAATATAGCTAATGTAATGTCCTACCTGGTGGTACTTCCTGTTGATCTTCTTCCACAGGTAGGGCACTTACTTCTAAAAGAAACAATAAAGGTACAAATCATCACACATCATGGACTACCAGTATTTGTTATGGTTCTTATTTTTACAGACTTTCCTAAAAATTCAATTGCAAGTATCATTAGGTTTTTATGCCACTCCAACAAAGAAGAGTTAGGTCCAACTAAGCAAAAATACGTATTTCTCAACTATTCTACTTTACAATGTGATCTTTCTAATTTTAAAATTCTGCTAGTTGCTCAAGAGATAGGTATCAGTATCTGGATTTTCACTGAAATTTTGAGTCCTGCTTAATACACGAGCTAGGGAAAGACTTGTAAAACAGTCTTAATTTTTTTATTGGAAAGCTTGTTCTTTTGGATGATGAATTGGAACTCAGAGCTTTGTACATGATTAAGTGTGTGTTCCACCTCCAAGCTGAGCTATACTGAAGCCTGGACCCTTGAAAAGTTTTTGCCTTCTAACTAGTTTTAACATCAATCATGAAATATAAAGGAATGACATTGAAGTACAGTATTGCCAAATGTTATCCTTAAGAAAATTCTTTTTAAAGGGAATCTCCAATTTGACTTTTTTTTTTCTTTAATGCTAGGAATTGAACCCAGGACCTTGGATACTCACATGCTCTACCACTGAGCCACACTTCCAAACCCTGAGATAACATATTAAGATTAATCTAAGACTTAGATGTAAACTTTAACCCTCTTGTCTCTTTCATTGGTTGCTTCAACCCAATTACAGCAAAAGAGAAGACACATATTACCACCCAGCAGTGTAAAATGTATGATTAGATTTGTTCAGTGAGATTATATCACACATAAATATATTCAAACTTAACAAGCTACTTAACATTACCTTAATCTAGAGATTAAAGTGTTTCTTTTGCTCCTGAAGAATTATAAAAGGCTTTGTCAAAGGAAGTATTTTTAATAGCATTATCTAAAATGCAAAATATGTGTGCAGTTAATCGTGTTTTTATATTAATTTGCTTCTAATTATAAGAGAAACATGCTCAAAATGAAATACTGGCCATTTTTCACATAAAAGGAAACATAAAACATACACACAAATTCTCCCTAACCATTGCTCATGAACTACTTTTTCAATTATTTTCATCATTTATTATTACATTGTTTTCATCTTAACTTCAGTCTTAAAAATATAATACTTCAATACTTTATCTGAAATTTTAAATGGTACATTGTTTATTTTGTAGCTAATCAGCTAGGAATGTGGCCTAGTGATAAAGTGCACACCTACCATGCACTAAGCCCTGGGTTCAATTCCTCAGTACCACATAAACAAAAAATAAAACTAGCTAATCAGTTATATGAATACAACCTGAAAGACTTACCTATGTAGGTTACATTTTCTTGCCTCAGGTCTTTTTAAAATTTTTATTTTTTAATGTTTTTATTTTCTTCAAGCAGTTGTAATACAAGTTGCCATTCAACAAAACAATTTATGAATATAATGTATCTTGATCAATATAACACCTTTCAACATTCTCATCCATCCCTCCCCACTCACCCCTTCCCTCACTTTTTCTTGTCTTTTTGAAATCACCTCTTGTATATGGATTTCAGTCTCACAAACAGCTGTGGCCAAATGCAAAGGAGTCTTTCCAGTCCTGGGATTACTGAGCTGTAGACAAATCAATCTATTTCTACATATTCCCACTTTTCCTTCCAGCACATTCTTCCCAGTTGGTTTTCATCTTGACTCATTGGTTCCTCATCTTCCACCCCAAATCAATGTTGGTATTCCTAAGAGCTCGGTGCTAGAATAACCTCTCTGCTCTCCATTTCTGATTCTCACTGAATCAAACTCTACACAGCAATGCTCTTCAGAACATTCCTCCTAGAGAAATGAGGGATGGGAGGTGGGAGAAAATCTCAATGCACTCATTCCTGGTATATGATTACTTTAGCATGTACACAGCAGGCTCACAGTTCCTGTGCAGGAGTCTCCCCTACCCCTCTCCACATTTATTTTTCCCCATTTCAGATCAAAGTATTGGTTTTTTTTTTCTTGCCACCTGCTTAACAACATAACAGACTCAATTTAACAACTGATTTCTGCCCACAATTAAGAATTTCTCACCATATCACTTTCTCTGAAGTGGTCATCTTCTCTACTCAGGGTAACCTTCTGAACCCCAGCTGCTATTTTCATAGCACCATCTTATTGCCATCACTGATCTTTTCCTGATCTTTATCATTCTGACCATTAGAATGCCAGTCTCAAGGAAAAGAGAAATTCTATCTCATTCACTGTGTGTGTGTGTGTGTGTGTGTGTGTGTGTGCACGCGCGCGCGCACAAGTTCTAAAAGCTTCCCTGAGCCTTTTTGCTCAAGGGTAGTTCTCTACCACTTGAGTCATAGCTTTATTTCTGAATTTTTCATGGCTAAGTGAAGATAAAAAGAGTCTCACAGATTTTCCTGCCTTTGAACTGCTATCCTTAGATCTCAGCCTTCTGAGTAGCTAGGATTACAGGTGTGAACCAGCAGCACCTGGCTTTCTTCATTCATTTTAATACTCCTAGTTCCCAAGCCCTGTGAGACAGCAAATAGGAAGTACATAAATACTCATTGAATGATGCAATGCACTCTAAATGCGGGATATATTTCTATAAAATTAACTTACCTTCCTGAACCACATTTGAATCTTCTATAACATTATCTAAAAAATAAAAGCAAACACATATTACACTGACTCACCTCCATTTACATCTCAAAAGTAGCTAATTCTCTACTTAGATATCAATGTGTTTTTTCCACTGGGTTTTAGTATAGAGACACTCATGACATTTATGCTAGAATCTCAACTTTAATTTGTAAATAAAATCTGCACCATAAATATGAAAGAAATATATAGTTGGCCCGCTGTTTCCCATCCACTGATTCTGAGTTCATAGATTCACCAAAGATTGAAATAGAAAGAAATTAGTGCATCAGTACTGAATACACACACACATTCTCTTGTTATTATTCCTTACCCAACATAGTATACATACTGGAATAGCATTTACATTGTATCATGATTCTAAGTAATCTAGATGTGATTTAAAGTAAACAGGAGGACATGCATAAGTTACCTTCAACTATACCATTTTATGTAAGACACTAAGTGACCTCATATTTTGATATCTGTAGGGCATAATGGAACCAATCCCATTGCAGATACTGAGAGGCAATTACATTGACACCGCTCAATTGCTTTCTCAGTGTCTTGAACAGGTCATGTATTTCTTAGTATATCTATTTTTTGTCCATAAATTAGAAGAGTTTTAACAAATGGGAGTAGAAATCTGCCTAAAATCCCCCTAACAACAAAGAAATGAACTCACCTGAAATTTCTATCTTTTCATTTTCTGAAGGTTCATATACTATAAAATAAACAGAACACAATCCTTTAGCATTGTATAACCTTCCTTATAATAAAACAGACAACACATTCCTGGGTAGTCTTAAATACTAGAACCACCAGACTTACTGTGAAATGCAGATTACAGAGCAGGGCAGGAGGCATTTTAGTCAAGTGAAATAAAACAGGCCTGGATTCAAACTCCAGGTCAGTAACTGTTCATCAACAACGGGTGGTAATTTCCCCTATACAATTGGGGAAATGCAAGGTACTCCCCCGATCACTCATTAGCATGATTTAATCATTTGTTTATACTCCAGTGATACTGAATTTCCCTTTTGTTCCTTAAAGCTTTTTTCATAATTGTAATGTTTAGAGCCAAAACCTTGTCTAGCATCACCTCGGACCCGTTTGTAGCAGACAGATTCCTATTCTGTGCATGGGCCAAGTCTAACCAGCTAACTTAGAGAGAAGATCTTGGCTGCTGGCATCTTAGAAAGGGTTGGTGGGCAGGTCCTTAATTCCTCATGAATCAGAAACCACCATCTATTCTGCTGTAACCTACTAACACAGGCTCTAGACTTTGTCTTCTCTGCTACAAAAGAAACAAGCCTAGTTTCCTTGCAACCTTGTCCTTCGTTAAGTGCCTGGCATTGTCACAATCAATTAGATCTTCCAAAATCTCTTCAATTTTCTGGTACATTAAGAGCAAACTTTCTTAATTTCATCTTCATTTAATAAAGAGTATTTTTTATGAGCACCTATTCATATTTTTGGAGGGGGGAGGACAATCCTGCGACTTGAACTCAGGCCTACATACTGTCCTTGAGTTTTTTTGCTCAAGGCTAGCACTCTACTGCTTGAACTCCACTTTAGGGGTTTTTGGTGATTAATTTGAGTTAAGAGTTTCATGGACTTTCCTGCCCAGGCTAGCTTCAAACCATGATCCTCATATCTCAGCTTTCTGAGTAGCTAGGATTATAGGCGTGAACCACTGGCAACTTTCATATTTTTAATAACACATTAAAAATGTTTATTTGGGAAGCGAGGAATGAGAGGGAAAGAGGGAACAGCTTACACTAGGCAAAAGGAAAGAAATGTAAACATTACCAAATGTAGAAGAAATAATTGTATTGTCAAAGTTCATAGAAGTCACAAACTTTATAGACCATGATAATGACAATTTGCCTTGTGAAGGTTAAAATGTGTTTGTGACTTTAACTAAGTATCACTATTGCACAATACTGTGAAATATGTGAAATTTATATAATCACCTAATCTCAATTTAAAAAAAAGAAAAGTGAGAGAAGGGATGAATTAGGAGTGATGGGTGACATGTTGTCAGACACCTTATATTCATACACTGTTTTGTAGAATGGAAATGTCTTTGTACAACTACTTAAGGATAATAATGAAAAATGTTAAAAAAAATTTATTTCTTGTAACTCAAATATTTGAAAAGTAGTAACTATCTAAAGTCATAAACTATCCACTATTTTCTTTACATCCCTTCAACTCATTCTATTTCATCTCATGGCCTTTACCCTTCTAAAACATACAACAAGGCTAAAGACTCACTATTGCTTTTTGGGGTACAGTCAAAAAGAAAAACTTCAATAGTGGCTCAGTGGTAGAGTGCTTGCCTCGCATGCATGAGGCCCTGGGTTCAATTCCTCAGCACCACATAGAGCAGAAAAAGCTGGAAGTGGAGCTACAGCTCAAGTGGTAGAGTGCTAGCCTTGAGCTGAAGAGCTAAGGGACAGCGCCCAGGCCCAGAGTTCAAGCCCCACGACCAACCAAAAAAAAAAAAAAAAAATACAGTAGATAGAACCATTCAAGTACATTTGAGCTACACATCTTCCTTATAAGTTACTGTTATCAAAGTAGGAAGCAGAGATTCCAGCTCCATACCCACCCCCCAATGTGGGAAAAAAAGAAAGAAGAGAGGAAAAAGAAGGAAAACAGAACTTATATCATGAATAGGCCATTCAAAATGATTAGTGTATTCCTACATAGGACAGCCTTCTCAGCATGATGCATTAAATTACCAGTTAGAGAAAACTGTGTTAAAATATACACCTAAACTGACTATCATAATCATTCCTTATTCTAGCATTCTCAGAATTCCTGACATACGTAAATAAATTCAAATAAACATTGGAAGGGTACAGTTCCTGAATCATTCTGAATTTTTTTTTCAGACCAGTGTCTCTTAGCCAAGAGTGTCTTTTACTGATGAGATACCTCAATTTTGCTGATAACTAACAATACTTGACTCCTCTCTGCCTGCCATGTGTGGGCTCCTGGAAAGATCCTTTTGCTTCTGTCTGGTGAGCACCTACTACTTTTTAGATATTTTTGGTATTGGGGTAGAATCATTTTGCTCTTTGGTGGCTTTTGGAAGAAGGCGCACAAGATTGGTACTCACTTTTGTCATTCCCAAGTAGACTCAATAAACACATGCTGCCCTCAAACCCTCAGCCAACTTTTTCTCAGGCCTGCTTCCCTTCACCCTCCTGTACAATCTGATTTCTTCAGAGTCATTGACATTTGATATTGCCTCTCCTCACTTCTCCTCCTTAACCCACTCCCTTCTGTCTTCCAGCCTGGAAGGCTCAGTCTGAGTAAGGCAGTAAGTCCTCATTAAATCTATTCAGTGCTTTCTAACCCTGTCATATCTGAATGGTTTAGCAACAGACCTAAGCCCAAACTCTGCCCTGGACTTCAGTGAGACTAGACTCTGTTTAGTGTTTCTTTCTTAATCATCTTTATCATTTTATCCTTTTCTTGGCAGAAGTTACTTGTGAGATTTCTTCAAAGTCTAGCCATACTATCTCCTCTGGACCCATTATATCTTCTCTCATGGAACCTCAGAGTTTGACTCCAATGAGAACATAGAAGGGATCATTACCAGACCCATACCAGGAGCTTCTCTTCTCTGATGTGAATCCTATCATGATGCCTATTTGATCTCCTCTTGGCTGTCTCAAAGTCACCTTACTTATCAATATGCACAGAGTTGGGCTCAGGACCTCCAGACCTTTTTCTGTCTTCAGATCTCTCCTATCTTAGGGGAAATGCACCACCATCCTTAAGCTTGCTCTCTGTCTGTACTTGCACATCAAGCTCTGCCGATTTCACCTTCTAGATATTTCTCAGCTTTGTCCATTCCCCTCAACCTTCACTACACTACACTAGCTCTGGTTTAAACTCCTATCAGTTCCAACCCATTTATCCAGTGAAAAACTCCTTGCCAAGGTCACCTGTGAGAGCATGTGCTTAGACCACAGGCATGATTTCTGTGATCACAACATATGGGTCTCAGTACACAACACCACTGAGCAAGCGCTTCATGAAACTTATCTCCTTCAGCTCCTCATTGGGCAAGAGACATGACTCAAGGACAAGTCATATCTGGAAGACTGTGTTAGCTAGCTGGCACCGCAGATCTATTCTTATCTTTGTCTTCAGTTTGTTACATGTTGGATCTGTTAACCTGTTCAAAACACAGATCTGATGTTTCAGTGCCTTGCAGGGTGGCCCATGGGGAAGGTGAAGCCCTCCACTCACTGACAGACATCTGGACTTGGACCACCTCAGGCACATCTCTGTTCTCACTGGCAGTGCACCTCAGAGACCCCATCTGACTGTCCATCCACTCTCCTTTCTCACCTCATCAATGGCCCAGATCTCCATTAGCCTCACCTATAAACCAAATAGTCCCTTTATTACAGACTCTTGTTACACTCTATACTGGTTCCCACAGCACTTATCATCACTGTAACTGAATGCTTACCCTGAAATTATTGATTAATTTCTGTCTCATGATAAAATGTAAGGTCTATGAGAGTCCAGACCTTGTGGTCCTTCACTAGAGTTGTTTAGTATTCTCTGTGCTGGACACAAAATACTCCATGAGTCACATATGAACAAATACATCAGATAGCAAGACTGTACCATCACTCCCCAGCTTAGTCCAATGCAGCATCGGGCTTTCTAAGATATATTTGATGTGGGAAACTGGTATGATTTTGTTCAACCACATGTTTTCCAGGTTCTGGAGTTGGAGTTTCACATAGAATATCTTCTGTTCTCCCAGTGAAATGGGGCTTTGTTTCTACCCCATTTACACTGTCCTTTATATGCCAATTACTTGGTTTCTATGGTCTGGTTTCTGAATTTCTGCAGATTTATTTTTCAGTATAACGAGAATAGTCCTCTGTTAAGAGTTTATCTACTTTGAAGACTAAACTTTAGAACAAAGTCTCAAATATCCTACCAAATTATGATGAGTCCTTTATATTATATTCACTTCCCTTTAATATTTTGAGATACATTTATTATTATACTGTACCTATAAAAATATATGACTTAACAATATCCTTTTTAGCATGTTACCTAATTTTTACCCTTACAAGGTTGAGTCAAGATTCTGTTAGAGCTAACCTGAAATTGCATTCCAAATGTGTTCTAATATATATTTAAATTATTTCAATGATTGACAGACATAAGTATTTAAAATCCTATTTCTGTATCAATCTTTAATTTCTAAATCCCAATTTCCCCTACCTATTCAAAATTGAAAATTTAAATGCAATCTCAGTGGCCAAGTTCTTTAACTTCTTATTTTAAAAAACATATTGTAGGTGAGTACAATCTAGAATTCTTCTAATGGTATCATGTATGCCCTGTCTTCCATATTCAATACAACCACAGCTCATGTTATTTTCTCACTTTACTTCATAAGCAAAGTTATACTTAGCTGACCTTTTGGCAGTCACTTTCAAAGACAATATAATTAAAATGCATTAATCAAAGGCTCTATTTCCCAGTCTTACAATTTTGGGCCAATTATTTACCTTCCCCAAACCTTATTTTTTTCACTTGTGAAGAGAGAGCCTATAATCTGCTTTATGGAAAAGAAAATGCTTGGAGACAAAAGCAGCTACAATGCCTGAAATAGAAGTGGGTGCTACCCATGCTGTGGATTTGCCAGGCTGCTTTTTCAATGCTGCCATAAAGCCAAGAATTCAATTTATCTTCTCCTTCCCTACATGGCCCATCAGTCACCTCTGATTGTGGCACCAACTGACTGTGGCTCCAACTGGTAGAAGCAATTAGTATAGTTAACGTCTGACTATACATGTTGTTCATACATATCTTAGAGAGAGAGAGAGACTAGGGTTGCACAGGAACGTAAGGAGAAGAGTGACCAAATGTAGTCATTATGTTCTATGTGCACTGTGTAAAAAATGAATCATATAACTTGAAGGCAGGGGAGGAAATGGGGGAGAATAAAAGAAGGGTTGATATTGACTGAAGAAGCAGTATACTCATAACCTGACTTATGGAATAATAATCCCTTTATACAACTACATTAATAATCATGAGAGAACAATTCATTTTTAAAAAGGATAAACTATAAAATAATGAGACAAGTGTTTTGAATAATTTGTAACTGCAACTTACAAAAAGCTGGAGAAATGGTTTTGGGCTATGGAAGAACCACTAGAACAGTTAAAAGAATCTGCTCAAAATGTGCTTCTTTGAAAACAACTCTTCATTTGGATGTTCTCAGTTATAATATTTACAGCTTAAAACCCAATTCTCGATATCTTACAGTCAAATTGATATATATGATTTAGATTTTTAAAAATTTATTGTAAAGGTGCTGTACAGAGGGGTTATATTTACATAAGTCATAATGAGTGTCACCCCTCTCCTTCATTCACTCCCAGTTTTTCCCCTCAACTTCCTTCCTCCCCGCACTCCACTGTATAGCTCATGTCCAACATGGTATCTAGGCACACTGATATACGTATTTTAAGACAAATAGGTGGGATAAGGTTAATAAACACTTGCAAACCTGGTTCATCTTTGTACAATGGCACATCATCTGCAAGAAAGAGAATTAAAATGAAGTAAATCATTAAACAAATCACTGAAGTTGCTTAGCTTTAAAAAAAAAAAGAACACCCTAAACACTAATTTCTATTCCTTTAAACATTAGTATATGCATAAGTAGTAATAAATTCTTCTGCCTAAAAGCAAAGAAAGGGCAAATAAGTTATTTTTATAAAAGTTCCTCAAAGCAAGATACAGAATATTAGCATTGGGACTTAGTATGCCGTTCTGTCATGGAGCATTTGTTGGTAGACGAGTAGAGACAGAGGTAGATTCCTAGATGCTCTTTTACAAGGCTAATTTTGTTACAAGATAAATTGTCTTGCTAAAATTGCCTCGACCTCTTTGAAGGGAAAACTACCATCTAAACATAGTACTACAACTGAAGAGCTTTACATACACTCAAAAATCTAATGAAAATGTTCATCCAGTACCTGTGGTAGGGGACAGTCTGTCATCATCTGCAGCTGGCTCACTGGGAACTAAAAAGAAAAAATACACCTTTCACAACAGGAAAAGCACCAAACACAGCAACAGACACCATTTCCTGATGCAATATGAATTTATTGCTAGACTACATAACCTTGTAAAGCACATACTATTAGTACCATTTAGTAAAGTGTAAGCTGAACAAAGTTCTATCTAGTACAGTCTAAGTTGCAAAGAAGGATTTTTCAGCAATGAGATTTGTACCCAGCCTGACACTAGTAAACTATATAGGCTCCTCAGTTTTCAGCATCCTACAAAGACCAAAGTCCCAATGGGGATATCCTTTCTCTCTTCTTCATATAATATTAACTGTGCTTAGTGATTTGTAGAAATATCTGATGAATCAAAAGTGATTAAAAGTAATCTGAAGAAATCTCTGTTATGGAAGTGGAGCCAGCTGTTTACCCTGAGTTAAAATAGCCCTGGTCACTGATTCAAACAGGAATTCTCACAAATAATTTTTATAATCACAAACCTGGGATTTCCTGGTTATACATCATCTCTTCCATATCTTGATGATGGTCTTGTGAAACTATAAATTAGGAAATAATTAGGAAATTAGTGATTTCCCCATGTTTCTCTATAAGTATTCTAAACTAGAAATTCACATTTCCTGATAAGGACAGAAATGTATAATCAAATCACAGATTATCAAGCACATTAACTCTTAGCAGAATGCAAAGTAAAAAGGAGAATATGACAGTTTTACATATAATGTAAAATCTGACATTAATGTAACGACCAAACAGTAGTTATATTCTCATTTAATATATTTAGATTAGTTAGCAAATGAAAACAGAGAGACAGAGCCAAAGAGCAATTGTGGGTGAGTTTGCCTCCTGTCCAAGCAGGAGTATCTACCTCAGAGAGGCCCTTTGAGTGACATGGGGCCCAGTTCTCACCTAGACTCCATACTCGAGTACTCTATATGGCCTAGCTTCAGACTGTCATATAATTCTTATTTACAGGTGTATAGTGCTGAAGCTACACAGCTCTTAAATGTCATTATGCAATACCATGTAGTGTTCAAGCTTGGAATGTGTCATCTACTCTTACAGGAAGGAAAACTAGTCAACAATACAAACTTAATGATAATCTGTGAAAGTATGCATTCTAATTAAGAAAAAATGATATTAAGTTAAAATCTTACCTGTCTCTTCTATAGAGAATCTATCCTCAGTTTCTGAAAAAAAATTAAGACTGATAGTACTACTTTCATAAAAATCAATTCCAAACACACTGTATATGTCCATTCTGAATAATGTTAATCATTGATTTTTAGAACCAAATAGCCACAAAAACATGAAAATATGAGTGCATGTCCATTTAACACTTTATCATCCAACGGCACAATGAAGTGTGTTTCACATTCTCTCATCTGATCCCTGTAACAACTCTACAAAGTGGTCAAACACAAAACTCAGTGTTGTTTTTTTGTTTTGTTTGGGGTTTTTTTTGGTTGGTTGTGGGGCCTGAACTCTGGGCCTGGGCGCTGTCCCTCATCTCTTCGACCACTTCCGGCTTTTTCTGCTTAAGTGGTACTGAAGAATCAAACCCAGGGCCTCATACATGGCAACCACTGAGCCACCTTCCTAACCCTAAAACCAGTATTTAGAGAGGACAATTAAGGTAGGGAGACACCATGACAAAAGCTAGATTCAGGAGAAGTTAATTTCTATTTTACCTTACATTCCACTGTGCTGTCCCATTTTCTAGCCCTGTCCTATCATTTCCTAGAGTAAAAATACAGGGTCTACCAATGGGAACAGAGGAAGTATGAAGTAGAAGTTATGGTTGTGGAGCTAAACAGAAATGTGTTGATTACACACATTTCTCAGCAAAAGTGCTGCCACCACACAGTCTGTCATGCTTCTAAAACCTTTCTCACGTTTTAAAGCATTTGAGGATCTTAAAGAAAATTTGTTGTAAAAGCGGCACCATTACAAAATTCTGCGCCATAATGACCAAAGATAGGAAACAGGGACATGAAAAATCATTTACCAGTATCCGTACTCAGAAATTACGAAATTTTCCCACCAGAATCACAACCTAAGTAACTATTAAAGCTCTAAGAACCAGAACCTAAAGCTAGTCTGTAACTATCTATGTGCAATGTAAATGCAGGTCTAAAAGTACATACATGCTCACAGCACTTTCTTTGCATTTTCATACACACAAAATGCATGCAGTATATAAATTCTGAAGATTGCCATGACACCAAACCATCACTAATATCACTACTTCTATGGGAAAGTGCATTTCTTTCTCTTATCAACAGGCACAGATATAAACTTTCAGAAATAAATCTATTCATCAAGTACAGGTGCCCACTTCTAGAGGAATTCTACAGTATGTGAAGTATGAGAAAGAATACTGAAACCCCACTTTTTCATGATTTTTATGCTTTAAAAAAGTTCTTGCAATCTTTCAGCAGCTATATTGCACAGGATTTTATAAACAAAGAATGCATCTTACCCATTTAGATATTGCCAATAATTACTTTTGCACTATGAGAGCAAAGTTTAACATAGCAAGAAAAGCTGAATGTGCTACAAAGCTTAAAATATTTACTGTATAACAAAAAAGCTTGTCAATGTCTGGTATAGAAGCTATGAATTGTACTCTACCCATAGTAGATAGAGATTAAGTGTAGTAGTTCACCTATTGCTTGAATTTAGTAGAACAAATGACATCTGACATTTCTTACTGCGGTAGGAAATTTACATACTGTATTCCTTGTGCTTTGAATTAAAATCACTGAGAGAAAATTTCACTTTAAAGCTTTAAGCTTTGCCATCAAACAAGTTAAAGTAGTATCTGAACATTTAAACAATGCTGGTTCTTAAAGGGGTTTAAGAAATATTTCAATAACTACAATTATTAACTGTGTATTGTATTTTATCCTGAAGCCAAATAAATATATTCTACCTTCATAAAATGTTCCAGGTTCCAGGTTCTGCACCCTATCATCTATATCATTTGCTGTAAGGACATCATCATACTCTGGTTGTGGTTCTCCTGCTGGTCCATCTGCTTCTAGCTGCAGGTCATCTACACAAAGACAATGAACACATTGACACAGGTAGCAAATGGCCAAAGGCAGAAGCCAACTTAGACAGGGACTTTTCACTTGAGACACTACTGTCCAGTCTTCTTGCTCTAGCCCACAGCTAAGGGCAGAAGCAGCTGTCTACATTAGCATATGAACCCAAGGAGTACAGGCACTTCATGTAGCTCTTAAGTGCAATACATTTTATGAATGAATAGCTGAATTCATAATTAAGTGTTTCTTCACTGATCTCTTGGTCAGAAGAATGGTCACACCAAGACCTTTCACTGAAAACTGACATAGAACTCCATGTAATGATTTAAAATGACTACTCAGATATAACATAAAAACAGCTGGCCACTGATGTTTATCACATACAGACCATGAATACACCTGTACTACACTCTGTACCTAAGCATCTTTAGTTACACAAAGATGCTCATATTCTTTTCTTCAATGATCTTTCATGATATACTGAGTATTTTGTTTTGTGTGGATGTTAGACATGCTAATTAATCTCTGTCAATTAGATTATTATCATAACCCCTCCCCCCTAAAAACAAAATCATCCCTCTAGTAATGACACATAGTTTCCAGCAGAAAATTTCCTGTTAAAACACTAAAGAACGTGAGGGAGTCAAACTAGGCTGGACAATACATTACAGTGATTAGGACTCTAGAGGCTAGAAAGTGGCTTCTTCATTTAGGCTATTCTAAACCAGCTGTGTGACTGTACGCACATTACCAACCTGTTCTGTACCTGAAATTTTCTTTCCATAAAATAGAAATAGTAAATGTATATTTATAACAATGCGTGAAAAGAAGAACTTAGAAAAATGCCTGATCCATTATAAGTAGGTAGGTGTTTCTACCACCACCACAGTAATTTCGGATTCTACTGAAGTTTCCATGAAATTGTCAGAAGCCGTTGGCATGGTGATACTCTCAGGTGTTCCTTACACATGTAGACCTATGAATGTAGGTATGATTTACAGGCCTCTACCTCCTTATGTATGAGTTTTGTGTCATTTCAGTTACCCAGGATCAATCACAGTATAAAAGTATCAAATATAAAACTTACAGAATAATTTATAATTTCTAAACTGTGTGCTGTACTGAGTTGTGTGCTGTAATCTCCCTCTCACCTGAGACAGGAAATCTCCCTTTTGTCTAATGCATGCATGTCTCTGCTATCCACTCATTAGTCAGTAGCCATTTTGTTTAATAACAGATTGACTACCACAGTATCACAGTGCTTGTGCTCTTAATTACCTTATCTTACTTAAATGTGGATCCAAAGCACAAGAGCAGTTGTGGCTTCAAAAGAAGCCATAAAGAGCTTTCTTTAAATGAACAGGTGAAAGTACCCAACTTAAGAAAATTCATACACTGAGATAGTCACGTTTAAATAAAATTTTCAAAGAAATTTATGATAGTTTTGCTGTCTCATTTCAAAGTGCTAAAGTTATAGCCACAGTGCATGAGAAATATATATATATATACACACACACATATATATATATATAAAACACTCATATGTAGATGTTTAGCTCTATGATTTCAGGTACTGTGAACTTCTTTACCCATATTACTCATGTCCTCCCATCACAGCCTCTCATATTTTCTCCTCATTTCAGATTGTCTGCTACTCTATAAACAAGTCACTCAATCTGTAATTACTGTTGAGAACTGTACGATGCTTTTTCTTGTAACCATATTTCTCTTTCATTATTCTCCTTCATTCTCTCCAGGGCAGCTTACAGGCAGTCGACAGAAGTGTCTGTGGGTTTGGTAGGGAACCTGCAATGCACTGTCCACTGTCCATGGGTCTCCACTGCTCAGCCAGCAACACCACACCTGAAGACACATCCTGAGGCTCACCCAATCCACATGCTGCCATGTCCTCTGCACTCACTCTCCTGTGCAGGTGGTACTGTGGTGTTGCTCTGGAAGATGAAGCACTTAAGACACTCCCCTAAAGCTGCCCAGCTAATAAATGGCTATAGGCCATGAACCCAGTAATGAAATGCATGATAACAGGGACCAGGAGGCCACACTATTCCTAAGAAGATGAAACAGAGGTGGGTAATACCTGTCAACAGACAATATAACAAGTTGAAATACCAGTGAAGGGTATTACAAGAAAAAGAGAGAAGGCTAGCTGGACTAGAGGAAAAGACTAGAAGGCAGACAGAGACTGAGAAGAGACAAAGCACAACTAGCTGGGCTGCATCAACATGGTTTATTAGGGAGCAAGAACAGAAACAGAAACCCAGCTGGCTGCCACCACAGGGACATAGCTGTGGTGACGGTCATAGCTGAGGTACTGGAGAAGCAAGATCTATTGTAAAGGCACTGAGGCAATACTGACAGAACGTGCTGGAGGATTTGATGTGAAGGAAGAAGAGAATTCAGTCAACTGCTGAGTTTTTCGATGAAGAAACTATACAGATAACATGTATTGAAATGAACTCCAGGAGATGGAAACAAAATGTTTGTTTTCTTTGCTGCCATTTTTGTTTTCATTTCCTTTTGTCTTGTTTGTTCATTAACCCATCTTTGGGATGGTAATCGGGGACATAGAAATGGTGACACAAAAGGTGAACTAATGCAGCCATAATACTCACTAGCCATTATGTTGGAAATGAACTATATAACTTGTGGGTGAGGATGGGAGGGAAAAACTGGGAGAGAGCAAGGGGTAGGTGTGACATTGCTCAAAAAGAAATGTTCTCTTTATCTGACTTACATAACTGTAGCCTCTGTACATCACCTTTACAATAACAATACATAAATTTAAAAAATTATACGAGAGTAGCAAGACCATTAACAAAAATACTGAAGACTAACCTAACTTCAGTGTGGGGCAGAGGTGAGGAGCTGTGAATGCTGCCGGCCTTCCGGGTAAGGAGCATCTCAAGGTTGAGCAACCCACAGGATATACCCATGGGGAAGGGTCATGGGTGTTTGGGGATGGCTGTCATCAGGGCTGCAGCCACACACACAAAAGACATGGCATAAAAATGATACTTCAGAGCCAGGCACCCTAGCTCATGCCTGTAATCCTAGCTACTCAGGAGGCTGAGATCTGAGGACCACGGTTCAAAGCCAGCCCAGGCAGGCAAGTCTGTGAGACTCTTATCTCCAATAAACCACCAGAAAACCGAGCTTAGGGACAGCGCCCAGGCCCAGAGTTCAAGCCCCACGACCGACCAAAAAAAAAAAAAGGTACAAGGTACTTAGAGCTATAGACTCTCAATGTAGTCGTCTCAGGCAACAAGTGAGATACACAGAAGCCATACTTCGACAGGTCAAATTGGGAGTCTAAAGCCAACTACTGCAAGTGGACTCATGTCCAAAATCACTTGCAGTTCCAAATATAGCTAGCACGAACTTTATAAAGACAAAAGAACACATCAAGGCAGATGTCACACAGTATGAGGACTAGCAAAACAGGTTTTACTGAAGCAAAGGAAGCTATCTAGAGGGAATAATCAAGGGCCAGTTGTCTAGGGGGAACAATCAAGGACCACCAAGAACAAGTATTCTCAGGGTCAAAACTTTCTTAGGTCTAAATAACCCACGACACATCTGCAATTCAGAAAATGACCTATAACACCTCGAGTGCTTAGTAAGCCATAACACAACTGTAGTTCAAAGAATGACCTATGTAACCTCTAGAGTTCTCAGAAAAAGTCCCCATCATCTACTAAGATGCCAAGAAGGCAGTGAGGACAAGATGGAGTTACTTAGAACCAGTATCCATATTTCAAAGGTCTCTGTAAAGATGAATAGGGCCATTCCTGACCAGAATGGATGAATTCTTTTTCAATTGTGTTACCCACCCTGACTGGTCTTGGTACTTTCTGTGACTTTCCACTTCTCTCCACACCCCATCTTGAAGCTGAGTTTGAGGAACCATCTTTACTCCTTGTGTACCGGTATGACCTTTTGCCTTCCCTGCTGCACAGGGGCCTCCTCCTTCCCATTTATCAGGCAAAATGCAGGAACAGGCCTAAGCATCCCCAATGGCTTTGATTCCTCTTAGATTAACCCAACTTTTCCTCTCCTCACTCTCCACCTCTTAAGTCCATGTGCCTGCCATTCTGAACAACTTTCAGTCTTGTCACTGGCCTTCCACACACAGGGCTTCCTCTGCTTACATTGCCCAGGGTGAGCTCTACTCAATCCTTTCCTCCTACATGAAGAAGACATTTCCTGCAGGAAACTCCTTCTGAGTTCCATGTCCAGTACCCCCCAGAGTATCCTGTGTTTCACTATAAGTTCTCACTAAAGCAATCAGTAATTACCAGTTTAAAGAAAAAGAGCTGCTGGAATAGGTAGGTCTCACATGTTCATGTGGGCATTTTTATTCTGGTGTGGCTGTAAAGAATCAGATACTAGAGGGACATAAGCCATCAGCATAATCCAGCTTAAGTGGCAGAGAATTGTTTTTTATGGCACATACTTTTCCCTTTAGGCCTAGCCTTGAATCAGAACAAACCAACAGTAGTTTCATACCATAATATTCTGTCCTTCATATCTACTTCATGGGTTTTATTTGGGGGCTATGCTATCTGCCTTTATTGAGGGTTGCTTAAAGAAATAGCTTCATACACTTATTGCTGGACTATGATTTAATACTCTATAAAGAACTCGATGGGCTGGGAAGGTGGCTCAGTAGTAGAGCACTTGCCTTGCACGCTTAAGACCCTGGGTTCAATTCCTCAGCACCACATAAGCAAAAAGAAAAAAAAGCCCAAAGTGGCACTGTGGCTCAAGTGGTAGAGCGCTAGCCTTGAGCTGAAGAGCTGAGGGACAGTACCCAGGCCCAGAGTTCAGGCCCCACGACTGGATCCCCACCTCCCCCCCAAAAAAAGAACTCAAATTCCACCTGAGTTAGAACTAAGTGCTGGGAGAATGCTTTTATACTTTCTACATAAGTAACACACTTTATACTTCTCTGGTAATACAACCTCTAAGTTTGCCCTTTTTGCTTTGGAGATCCAGCCAAGTATGAAGTCAAACACACACCTGGGGTGAGGATGAAGACAGCTCTTAAGTGAGCCACCATAGTCCACTGGCTTGTGTTCTTTACTATGACTCCAGACTATTCTTCACAGTTCACTGGTCCTATTTATCCTAGTTTATTCATGCTATCTTTGTATTAAACGTGTTTAGTAAGGAGAATGAAGTACATCTAGTAATATTTCAATGACTTGGAAAAAACTGCAAAACCCACTGAAATATACAACTAACACTTTAATTTTTAAAAAGAATCCAAGTAATTTTATGTAAAGATTTTAGCAATTCATGACAGTATAGTATATTTTAATCCATACCATGATCTGTGTGTACCGTTTCATGGAGAAGAGACTGAATCTGTTCTTTTATTTCATCTTCAATATTCTGGGGTTCTAAAAATCACAAAACATCACTAAGTAGAGCATATAAACATTACTATGGGACTTTAACACTATATAAAGATCATCCATGCATATAGATTACACTGTGTTTGCATAATGTCAGTTTCCTACATCTTTATGCTGACAAACATGGTAGATACTTAGAATTGGTTTTGTTTTTCAACTGAAACAGAGTAGTAAAGGACTGGCAATAAGATTTTTTTTTTATTAATTCAGGTACAGATTTGTTCTATAAACAAAGCCTGACCAAGTACAAAAGTACTGGCTAAGAGAAATAGGGGAGAAAGATGGAAGAGACCACACTAATCAAGATGTAGTTGACTCGTAAACTGACATGAAACCCATTTGTGTAACTATTTTAAAATATTTTTTAGGAAATTTTTAAGGGCTTCAGTTTCTATCTAAAAAAAATCATACTAATGACAGCAAGGATGTGGTACAAAAAAATGTAGACTAAATAACATGGTCAGGCACAATACTCCCGACAGCCAGGGGAAGAGGCGTGTTTGCTGGTGGGAGGCCCCATAGCAATCAGAATTGGATGACCATGTCTAGAAGTCTGGAAATATGGGTAGAAAACGACCACACTGGAACTGACAATCCTTTGAGCTTTAGAGGACCACCTCTGACAGGTGCAAATGGCAAAATACAAAAGTAAACGTGAGTTTTGGCATTCCATCCAACAATACCATCATGCTCATAGGATTGTCAGATACACTGCAACCTAACCCAGCAAGTTAGAAACGACTAATTACATTGACACTATTGCCAATTTTGCATAAAACACAATCTACATTGTGGATACAAGTAGTGCTAGACCTCACCTTGATATCATAAATGCTGCCATAGGAAATAACCACAGTGACATCAGTTGTTTCAAAGAGCTAATTGTCAGTGTCAAAGGTGCAACAAGTTAACTTGAACTGTAGGCAGGGAAAGGTTAACTATAAATCACTTCAAACCATTTCTAAGGCATACATCTAGTACTTTTACAGATACTTGTTTCATCAACTATCTTCTTACATATATTGTGGTACAATTATTCCGTTCCTTGATGAACTCCAAATACTACAAATGCTGAGAACATCAGCCAGGAAGGCAGGAAGGGACTCTAGCAGGTGACACTGCTATACTTTGGATTAACTCTTTAATGGCTCCCCACCCTAAGTGAATATCTAAACTCCAAGAGCTACAGAAATGGTTCCTCACACCATGGGGCCATTCAGATACTAGAATGACATAAGCTCCTTCACCCCAGCAGCTATTCATTTCCCATGATTCTGTAAATGTTCTTCCTCCCTGCTGGAGAGGTTAAGTAGAGGTAGAAGCCAGACCATGGTGGGTTAAAGAATGAATGGTAAACAAAGGGAAAGGTCAGTTGTAGAGTCTTGATTTTAAAGTCCAACTACTAGGAGATGGATTAAATAACACATAGGGGTCAAGAAAGGATGGAGGGGGCTGGGAAGGTGGCTCAGGGGTAGAGCGCTTGCCTTGCATGCATGAGGCCCTGGGTTCGATTCCTCAGCACCACATAAGCAGAAAATAAATAAACAAACAAACTAGGTTCACAAAAAAAAAAAAAAAAGGATGGAGGGCTTTATTTTATTATTATTGTTGTTGTTATTGTTGTTAGTGCTGGTCCTGGGGCTTGAACTCAGGGTGTAGACAATATTCCTGAGCTTTTTTTTGCTCAAGGATAGAGCTCTACCATTTAAGCCAAGTCCACTCCAGCTTTTTAGCAGTTAATTGGATAAGGGTCTCATAGACTTTTTTTTGCCTAGGCTGGCAAAGTAGGTAGGATTCCAGGTGTGAGCTATCAACACCCGGCTATTCATTATATATTTAAGAGCGTTACAGAACTTTGTTTACACAGTAAATAGAGACACAGAAGAAAGAGAATCTAAGGATTCAGAAAGAGAAAATTTAAGATGGCAACATTCATGCCAAAAGAAAATTTCCAAGAAGTTGAGATGGTGGGGGGAGGTTAATAATAAACCATAGGGGCAAATGATCAATATCTTGTGAAGATATTAACTATAAAAAGGACAAGTGGGGCACACATGGGATATGTCAGTGACAGTACTAAAGTTAAAAATAAGACTTTCCAACTATAAACTTATTTAGTACAGAAGTAAAAATGTTAAATTCAAAATCATTTATAATAAACTGCCCTATGATTATAAATTGATAAACATAACACTTAAGAGCAACATACTGATCTTTCAAAGGAAGAAAAATCAGATCATATTCATTACTGTGGACCTAGTGCTTAAGATATCAATAAATATGTGGTGTCATACATAACACCTCCAATAGATGGCATAACAAAACCAATTTTCTTTTTTTTCGGTTGGTCACAGGCCTGAACTCTGGGCCTGGGTACTGTCCCTCATCTCTTTAGCTCAAGGCTAGCACTCTACTACTTGAGCCACAGCTCCATTTCCAGCTTTTTCTGCATATGTGGTGCTGAAGAATCGAACCCAGGGCCTCATGCATGTAAAAAAAGCACTCTACCACTGAGCCACCTTTCCAGCCTGAAACCAATTTTCTTTACAATCTTTTAAAAATGCAGAAACTAAAGATGCTTTATAATATTCTGATTATGACATGACAGTAACAGATTAAAACTTCACATACTAATAATTAAAATATTTCAAGAGGGGCTGGGAAGTTGGCTCAGTGGTAGAGCGCTTGCCTTGCATGCCAGAGGCCCTGGGTTCGATTCCTCAGCACCACATAAGCAAAAATAAAAAATAAAAAATAAAAAAATAAAATATTTCAAGATTTCCCAATGGGTCATAGTGTCTTGAATATCTATAAATGAAGTGAACTGATCCACAACTCTCTCTATAGAACATAATCAAATGGTAGTCTGCAATGCTTTTGATATATACACAGAACCCCAATATAAAATGTAGGAGTTCAGGCACTGATGGTTCACGCCTAAAATCCCAGCTACTCAGGAAGCTGAGATCTGAAGATCACAGTTTGAAGTCCACCCAGGAGAAGACTGTGAGACTCGTAGCACAATTAAACACCAAAAAAGCTGGAAGCAGAGCTGTGGCTCAAGTGGTAGAGTGCTACCCTTAAGGAAAGGAAAACAAAAAAAGAGCTTAGAGACAGCATTCAGGCCCTGAGTCGAGCCCTAGCAAGGACTAGAACAAAAAACCAAACAAACCAACAAACAAAAAAGCAGGGGACACTAATTACTCCTATGCTATAAAATTACGTGGCGAATGCTGGCAACCCTGGTGTAGAACAGGTATCTACTTTTACTTTCAATGTAATGTGTGCTACAATTCTGCTAGAAGTGGAATCATGAAATCACATTTTTTTCTGCTGTTGCTAGCCTTGTAATATTTAGCAACAAACAAGTGTGCCTCAAATACTCAATGTCAAACATTTAAACTACCCTCTGCAACTTTTTACTAGGAAAAAAAGGGGGCGCTTATTAGATTCTAGAAACAATTCTATGAATAGTGAGACACAAATTGTGGGAACGTGAATACTGTGTAAGCTGCAAAGAATACCTGTCAAGCCATGAGCACCCCGCAAGGCTTGGAAGGCACTTACCTGTCCCCACAGGGGCCTGATCCTCTGGCTCATCGTGTGGCTCAGCCTCCTCTGGTGGGAAGGATGACTCAGAAACAGATCTTTCTTTAAGTCCTGCATTTTTTATTCACAAAATTAACTTAAGTTTTTAAATCTTTTTTTGACATTAAATCAGGAAAAAGAACACTCAAAACATTGACTCAGTGGTGCTAGGTAATTCATATTTAAGTAGCAAGTAGTCTGCTCTTTAACTTCCAACCAGCCTTTTAATATCTCTAACTTAGCTTCTCTTTTAAAAAGATAATAAAACAATTAATTATTGAGTTATTCATGGAAAACAGTCAGGACTAAACTTCCAAAGAGAAATGTAGTGAGTCCAAGCTCATTCTGTGTTTGTGACGAATGCATTCTATATATTTTCACTCAAATGTTTATTATTCTTGAAAACTACAAATAGCTACAAATAAAAAATCATGTATAACTCACTATAATTTTCTTGAGGCTATCTCTACACATAATCATATAACCTTATAAAAGTTAAAAGATATGAAAATCCTTTCTTAAAAATTACAATGGAAAATAATATACTGGAATTAACATGAATACTAATTTTGAAATAAACAATACTAGTTATTTGACACTAAGATGTGTCCTCAACTATAACTACTTAAAAACTAATCTGGGATGAAGAGCCTGCCTCCTGAATCCTAGGCATCTCTGAACTAAACTCGTGTAAAGCAAGTTTGGGACTCTGTGCACAGAAGTGGTCTGCAGTGAAGGGGTCTAGAGGTTTGCTTTGAACATGAAGCACTTTGTACCACTATTAACATGTATTGCTCTAATCTGGAAAATTCTCATTTTTATGTCCTTTTTTTTTTTTGTTCTTGGTATTTTTCCATATCATTCTCACTTCCTGAGTAACCAGGATTACAGGCATGAGCCACCAACACCCAGCTTCTCTTTGATTTTATCTCTTCACTTTTCACTCAGTGACAGCATGTTGCCAAGATCCTCTTCCCATCTTAGAGAGATTGACCCTGGAATAGACATCCACCGTATCACTTCTACCTCCTCCATTCATGCATTTCCAATACCACACGCACCCAAAGCTGAACACCAGATACTATTACATTAAGTGTAAATCTAATTGCAAATGGATTTCTAGAGGATTATATAAAACATCCACCATCTAAATTGTGGTTCTGTTTCTGGGAGTTGTTAACAGGTAGAGACGAAGACCTCTTCAAATACTTCCCATTTCTAACATACAATGACTATTCAGTCACTTCTGATTTGAACAATCTAACCTTGCATCCCTCAACAGTTACTGGGCAAGTTTTGATAAGTGAATAGAGGAAAGCCAAAGAATCTTTGAAATTATGGTTTATTTTTGCCCTCTCTCAAAACAGCATTACCACTTGACCACTTGCTGAAGGGCTGTAGGAGTCCAGTGATGTTCATCTACTCTGCTAGTCTAAACCACTAGAGTGTACCTGCAGGCCAGGCCTTCTTACTGCCCTGAATGGCTAAGAGCTGTGGAATAAAAGGCTTCCCATTCGTTTTGCTACTATTTACCAGAGTCATCTCTCTGGTCCAGTATCCAGCTACCATTCCAGTATTACAAATCCAGTTTGCTCAGGACAGCCCTAATTACTCTCAACAAAGAAAAATTAGTACAATCCTTCACTAACCCCTCCCCCCCCCACACACACATACACACTCGCACACACCAAGCTTCATGGGTAGCAAGCTCCCTGAGTGGCTGACGTTATGAAATATTTTCACATCAAATTATATTTAAATTTCTTGAACATGTCATTTATACTGGGCTTGAAGAAAGATTTCACTTAAAAGGAAAGGAAAGGCAGGGATCAAAAAGAACCAAGTACTCATTACCTGATTCATGTAACGGTAACCCCTCTGTATAATTACCTCTATAGTAACAATAAAAATAAAATAAAATAGACATTCCAATGCTAAAAGTGTTGCTTCTGAGTAGACCAGTGTTTAAACATACAATGTCCCAAAGGATTGGCTAAAATGATTTGTCTTTAAAATTGAAAAGACAAAAAATAAGGACCATTAAATACAAGGAAGTAGAAGCTGGTAACATGAAAAAAAAATAGGTTGCAGATTTCTTTTCTATTTAAAGTGGTAGTAGAATTGTAAACCTGCAAATACCTAGTCACAGATATTTCAGAGGTGAAATCAGCATAAATAAGGAAACAATATTTTATACATCAAAGATACTTCAGATCATATTAATGCATCTTCTTTCCTCAATCCCTATAAACTTTTAAAATTGTAAACAAAAATTTACTCTAGTCTAAAACTGTTTAATAATCCATGTAGAAGAAGTCACTCTAACAAGTGTTTATGATGCTTCTGTAAAAAAAATAAAAATTACCATCCAAACAATACAAATGCAATGGGAGATAAAAATACTACACAAGAGCAATTCAGAGTCAAAGGAAAGGTTTTCAAGCTGGATTTATTAGGAAGTACAAAGGGAATAGGATTCTGATATTCTAAAATACTCAGAATTTCCATTTTGAAACAAGATATATCAGTTTACAAGTCTACAAGTTGACAAACCACCTTGCACAATGTGAACAAGATTTATTACCATACAAGTGATTCAGACACTGTCCTCAGAAAGCAATCCCTGGGACAAACTTCTTTAAGACAAGATGATGTCCAGAGGCAAAAGAACCCTCTTGCTCTGCTGCTTTCTCAGACCTGAGGAAATCCTCCAGATGTTCCCAGTAGCTTTGACTTCCAGTTTGAAGTCAAGGTACAACTGTAACCTAGCAAGAGGGGCAAAATGACCCACCATGGCTGCCTCATCCTTCTGGATTGCTTCTCAGGCTGAATATTCCAAGTTTACCACAACAGCCACATGTGATAGGGAAAGTTAATCCACTGCCATGATTTTATCATGGCATAAAATCATATACCATGATTTTAGTTCTACAGGCTCATAGGATAATAAGAACATTTTAACAGGTTGAATTTACTAGCTATATAATTATTCTTCTAGTTTTAATTAAAAATGTATTAGTAAGTCAACTTTGCAACTATTCCCAGTAGTCTTAATCATTCACACAATTACCCTGGTTCCATGATTAACTTACTTTATTATTCTCTGCTGCCCAACTACATCTAACTAGAATGAACAAATGTAGTTCTCCCCGTAAGTAAGTGCTTGTGAAAATTTCTTTAGCATCTGAAATGGAGGGCACTGTTCTATAATAAATGAACATACAAAATACCTACTTTCAAGGAGAGGGAGTCAGTTAAAACAAATTTAGGAGTTGATCAGACAGAATGAGGATGTGGACAGGAAGGAGGGCCACGTATTAGGGAAAGGGGAGAGTCTGTGTACAATAAATGTGTGAAGAAAGGGCACACCAAATGCATTTCAACAGACTTCTGTGGGAATGGGCCAAGAGTTCTGTTGGCAGTTTTCCAGGTAAAGGAAAGGGCAAGCACAGAATTTCTCAGCTGGAATAGTGCATGGTTTGGGAAGCAAGAGGCCATGCAACAGGAAAGAAGTGGGCCAGAGAGTGGGTACCACAGACACCCTGAGGCCCTGGGATACTCAGAGCCAATACAAAGGACTCACTTTTCCCAAGAATTACATTTACCCATTGAACCTGTAAACACTGACTCCAGGGAACAACCTCCTCCTCCATGGATAGCAAAGTGTTCAAGTCCCTTCCCTAAAATGACAGTATTTGCGTATCACCCATACAATCATCTACAGATACTTGTTGATACCTAATACAACATAAATATTAAGTAAAAAGCTGTCAGACTATAGGATTTAGGAAATAACAACAAGAAAAAAGTTCATTTGTACATGTTCAGATATAAATTCTTTCTCCTAAGTTTTTCAACTACAGTTGGTTGAATCCATGGATTAGGAGCTGAAAGACATAGTGCTGCAGATAGAGAACTAACTGCATATGAAAACTCTCCATCAGTGAAAGCTGGAAATTGTTAGCACTCTGTCACAGGATTTCATAAAATATCTCATAAAATGCTACCTTATTTTTAAATATAAAAAAACTTACCAATGTTTATTTACCAATTCAATGGTATACACACAGGAAATTTTTAGTCTTACCAATCTAGAGCATACAAGCTCCTGACATTCTTATTAAGGGTAAATACTCAGAACAGCTACTGCATCCCATTTAAGTCATCTAACAATATATACCAAGATGTCCCAGAATAAGGCAAGAGATACATGAGACCTGAGAAATATCCTATGAAGAAATCAATACACAAGAAAGGCACACAGGAACTGATCCCTGCTCATCCATGTCAGACTTGCTTATTCAGCCAGTGAAAGCAGATCTCAGTAAGTAAGCAATCAGCAGTCTCAGAACTCATCAAAATGCTTGAGAATACTGCAAACAAAAAGCTGGCCCATGATAAAAATAAGGAAATATTTTCCAAAGCATCTTTACATGGCCCAAGGTGGACAGATTTCAAATGATGTGCTGTAAATCATATGATTAAATACTGACTAAAAAGAAAAGTTCTTAAGGGCTGAGAAGGTGGCTCAGTGGTAGAGTGCTTGCCGTGCATGCATGAGGCCCTCGGTTTGATTCCTCAGCACCACATAAGCAAAAAGAAAAAAGCCAGAAGTGGTGCTGTGGCTCAAGTGGTAGAGCGCTAGCCTTGAGCTGAAGAGCTGAGGGACAGCGCCCAGGCCCAGAGTTCAGGCCCCACGACCGGACCAAAAAAATAAAGAAAAGAAAAGAAAAGTTCTTAAGACTCTGCTTTCAGGATCCACAGGGGCTCTCCACTTGACTGGAAGGAGTACATTCAACTTGAACACTGTGCAAGAGAGTTAAAGGGCACACATCACTACATAGTATGCATGTTCTTGGCACTGGAATCTAACTGACAACCTTTGAAACCCATCAAAGGTGGCAATTTGACACCCCACTACAATCTGGGTTTCCACAAATGCAGAAAAGTGATAAAACAATGCCTTTTAAAAGTGCTTTAAGAATTGAGATAATTTCTATCTAGTAACATATTCTTTTGAAAATTATTTTTTCCTTTATTTCTTCTGAAGAAATGTACTTGCCCTCTCCTTG